TATAACCGGCACCAGTGATTACAGGATACCAAGATTAAAATATCATCAGGTCATTTTGGACTCGTTTGCCAATTCGTGTTCAAAACTGGTTAAAATTTTGCAGCTTCGGAAATATCCATGAAACCGGTTGTCTTCTGTTCAAAATATCTCAAGTTTGAAATAAATAGAGAGATTTCGTGTTTATATACATAACAATTACCATTTAGGATCAGACTTGCAAAATATCAAGCCAGTATTGTCGTGATTTCCACGAAATGTTCGTTGATTTGTCATATAAATGCTCCTATTTGTGTTCCTGTTGACATTTCTCCATGACACTAAACTGCTCCAAATGTTTGTTATATAACAAGCTTGCTGGCGGGAAAACATAACTTTTGTGATTGAATCATTGTTTACACTCCGCTCAATTTTGATAATCTCTAACAAACCTACAGTTGATCAGGGGGTCGATAATAGATGAGGAAAAATATTTATTTTGCATTTATCAAACCACCTCTTCTTTCATGTTTTATGAACTTTATTTTGTATATATACTGACCCAAGGGATTTAAACAATTCAAATCTTTGTTTCAAGATTATATCATTTACGAACAAATAATTATGTCATCTGTATTTTTTTACCTCCGAATCTTGTCTGTGCCATTGTCGTCTTTCTTTGTATCTCGTCTTATTAATAACCGCCCTTAAATTTCTTCTGTTGTAAATATGGCGTCCCCCGTTTCAAGCAAAAAGGGTTAAATACATGCAAGAGCAAATGACCCTGGCGATATACATGGTTAAAACTGGAACTATGAGTAAAAAGTTGGCCGCCCAAAACGACTTTACTCGACAAGTTGAGTGGCCGTGTTCTTGAAGCACCAACAAGGCATGGGAAAAAACCTGGACAAACGGCAGCCGAACAGATGACGTTAGTTAATTATATAGCACAAACGCATAAAGTTAGATATTCAGTCACACGGAAAGAAGTTGTCATGGAGATTAAAAAATCAGTAAAAATACTGTCTGTTAAATTTCTAGTTAAATATCAATGCAAGACAGTCGAGACGTCATAACCTCAGATCCCCTTTCAAAATTCCATTTTATTTAGTTCCGCCCATTATTTTCTCGTTTAAGTCACACACACTCCTTAACTTGGGGACCATACGCCGCTTTAAATGAAAGGCACTACTGTGTCACATTGAAGGTTCCATGATAACCGCCGCATTAAGACATCTGCGGATGTTTCTAAATTCAAAATTTCACCATTTTCCGTGTTTAAATTTTGAATTTTGCTTAAGCCGGTGATAGGGGCGTGGACGGTAACTTGCACTTTCCAGTACCGTCCACGAACAGACTCAATCAAACCGAGCCTGCAACATTTTCAATTTTGTCTTGTTGGACTTTCTTTAGGGATTCTGTTTTTCTCTATTTTTCCGGATTGTACTCCTTTTTGAAATCAAAAAATTACATTTTGTGTTTTTTCTTTAAATGATTACTAATGTTGTGTTTTTCTTTATTAATTGATCATTTCACTCTTTCTTTTGTTTTACTTGTTTCTTTCTTTTTTTCATTTTTACCTTTTTTTTAGTTTTTATGTCATATTTTGAAATATAACTTGTCATATTATTTTATAAAAAAACCCATTGCATTTCAATACTTCAAAAAAAGAAAACATTCACTTCATTCCGATGATTCTAGTTTGTCAAAACTTCCTCACCCTCCTCCACCATGTCGGTTTTCTCATTACTGGAGTGCAATTCTATGACGAATCTTCTATTTCAGCATCAACTGCAATGTCTATCTCCCACTCTCAGTACTGTTTTTTGTGAAATACAGTTCTGCCAAAAGACAACCGTGATAGATGAAAAACTTCTTTGTTTTCTGAAGCAGTGTCGTCATGTTTAAGGTTGTACTTTGTCGCGCGACAGATCTCTTCAAATTTGCCACCACAATCTCTCTGGCATTACCGTCAGCATGATATGCTGGAAGTCGAACAATTTCATGGCCATGATCTTTCAAGAGGCTGTCAGATACACACCGGATTGTTGGTGTGTTACACCTACACAGCTGCAGTAGCTGGGCCTTCTACATGGAATCTTTAAAGGCAACATATTGGCGACGTAATCAGTCCTAAATTTTGGCTTGAGTAGAACACTTGTTGGTTTGAATGTTATGGTACATGGCGTTGTCCATTATCAAGACTGATCTTGTTAGAAAATTTGGAAGAAGTTTTTCTCTGACCCACTTCAGGAAAATTTCGTCATTCATCTCACTGCGGTAATCTCCAGTAAAATACTTGGATATTGACTCCAGTGATGCTCCTTCAATAAAACCTATCTCGCTTTCGGCGTGTACCACAATCAAAGATCACCAAAGTGAACTCTGGCTGCAACTATATCTGAACGATCCATTAGAATACTTCCTTCTGTTTAACCGTGTCTTCCTCCATTACGAAGCCGAGTTGCCCTTTCTGGCCGATTTTCTGTTATAAGGCTTCTTGAATGGTCTTAATATTTTGCATAATTTGCATCATCATTTCTTGTTTTGTCCGTTTAGACTGCATGGATGTTCAGCCTGGCTTGGCTCTATAATGGTAGATTCATTTCGGTTCCGGTAGGGTAAAGGTGCAGTGTTGTATACACAATAACTTTTGATAGAACACGTCGGATTATTAATCTAAGGATTGCTGGTTGTGTGGGTTTATGTCCCGTCAAGGGCAAGTCGTTGTTTCCTTGAAGAAGAAAGTTTATACTACACCTTGTTTCCCAGTTTTCGCTTAGAATGTTTTTGGTATATCAATAGTATTACCAAATTCTAATATACAGTTTTCAATTTGCCTATATGTTTATGTAACTGTAGTTTTTCAGTTGCAATATTTTCTCAAGATGTAAAAGTGATCAATGCTATAGTTAAATTGAAGAAACACTATAACAAACGTAATTTGAAATCAAAGGAAGTCCATCAATTCATTACAATTTTACATACCATGAAAACATAATCGTATGTCTGTGAACTCAACAGTTGTGATGTACTCTCATATATAGGAAATTGAACGTTTTCAAGTTAATCGCTCTGTTTATATTTGGCTTGTAACTGTGTACCGATAAAAAGCTGTTTCGATACACCTACCGCATTAAATAAAAATCTTCTTCTGTCATGAGAAAAGTATTACAAATGAGATTTTTCAGTCTCAATTGTAGATAAAAGTACAATACGAATAAAGACACTAAAATAGAGTGATTTTGATCTTCTGTCAGAATGTTGGCAACTTTCAGAGCGGTCTATCATCATCGGCAGATTCCAAAATACATTTCTGCCTAAAGTGACAGCATTTTCAATTCGACCGGGCTATTTTATTCTTAAGAAAATAGACACTGGATTGATATTTTGCATGCATGACTCTAAGAGATGAGTTTTTATGTGTATAACACTAAACCCCTTAGTTTTTATGTAAATTTTTAAATTGAAATATTTTGAACAAAAAAACCCAAACATTTTCACCGAGTTTCTAACTGCTCATATTTTTCTTTCTTTATTTCATTTTATTTTTTGAAATGAGGAAACCGTTAGTATGTCTAGTCAATTGGACAATAAGTCTACACTAATGAAATTGAGCTTACTCGCGTAATATGAATATGCCAACAAAGCTTATAACCTACCTTTAGTAATCAGTATTTTTTGTCTGTCATCACTGACGCCGGTAATACGGCGTGGATATGTTGCAACATTCTCTTAAATGTGTGGGTAACTTTACTTACAACGGCGAGATACTTCTAGCAAATACGTCTATCAAATTAAGAGTTATTAAGAAATTGATTTTGACATGCCATATTTCAGCTGCAAAACTTTAAAATAATCCAATCATTTGCATTTTCTTTAACTCCGGTTTCATTTTCTGAAATTGATCATTTTGATTCCTTCTTTTCCTTTCCTGTTCCGTTCCGTTCTGTTCCCTCCCGCTCCCTCACCCCTCCTTACTTGATTGCTGTCTTTCTTGCTTTCTTGCTTGCTTTCTTGCTTTCTTGCTTGTTTCCTTCCTTGATTCTTTCTTTCCTTCATTTTCTTCAATTCTTTCTATACTTCTTTCTTTTTTTCTGTCATTCTTTCTTTTTCTCTCTCTTTCTTTCTTCATGATTTAACGCAATTTTGACAGAGGACAAACTGTCAGGCAGATATCATCATAACTTACGCAGAACCAGTCATAACTTCAATTGTTTCCAAAGAATCAAACAATGTGAATATAGTTCAACTGTAGTGATTTCCCTCAGGAAAATCTTTATATCATTAATCTTGAACGTCTGGTGTCGGAATTGATAACGACTTTTGTTCAGATAATGTTGTAAATCATCAAAACCACATACTTTCATAACGTTTCAAATAGTGCAAACATTGTTTGGAAATTTTTTTAACATGGATTTGTCCAATTTTCAGTGTCATAATGATTACTATAATAATTACTATAATAACGGTATCATTGTAACCACCATTACTATTATAATCATTGTGATTATTTGCAGTATTGTCAACGTAATAACTTTAGTTTGTCATCATCTTCAATATCATCATCAGCAGCAGCAGCAATATATCATCATCACCACCACCACCACCACCATAATTAACATTATCATCATAATAATAATAATAATAATGATGATAATACTCATCATCATCGTCAGTAGCATCATCATCATCATCATTATCACTGTGATTTGTCTTCATCTTCAACATCATTGTCATCAGCAACATTAACATATGATCATCATCATTATCATCATTCTTATCAACATTATCATTATAACTACCATCATTGCAACCTCAGTCATCATCAGCATCATCGCCATTGTTATCATCATCATCACTACCACTACACCCCTACCATTGTCATTATTATATAATCATCGATGCTGCTGTCAACGGGACAAATATAATCATACATTTTAGACACTTATAAAGGTATTGTCTAATATAATTTGACAGTTAAAAGAGATGAATATTTCAATGAATAAACAAGATAATTCGTTTTAAAACTAATGTATTTAGTTCACTCTTGGCAAGAAAACATACAAAAAATAGCACACGTATTTCGTGATATTCACAGCAAGTTTTAATCTTCAGAACATAGAAAATTGCATTAAAAACATACGATTACAAAATATCTCTGCACATCAATAATAATTAGTGTATAGGCTTTCAGAAATATCTATAATTTTATAAAGCTTCTTAAAGAAGAGAAACATACAAAAAATACCTTTTTATGATTTTAACAATATATGATTAAATCCTATCATTAAATATATTATTCTTACGAAAATAATGTAAATTATACAACATACTTTTAATATATTAGAAATTGTAACAGAACTTTACTTCATCTTTTATCTTTTTACACTTAGTTGCAAAAGAAAGTGTGCACTTAAGGTGAGCGGTGGCCTAGCTGTTAAGGTGTCTGCCTCTCAACCCATGGATCATGTGTTCGAGCATTACTCGGGTCACGACCATGTTTCTTCATTTGATTCCAGAACTGGTTGGTTCCAGAAAGCGGGCTCGTTTGCAAGAATTTGTTAAATTAATATGTTTAAACTAAATTGGGCACTTGGTAACTTGGAAATTTTGAATACATACAAAAGCAAAAAAGTGGCAAATAGTATCAAAGTTTGCAGAAAAGTATTGACCATACAATAGTTTACTTTGTGTTGAAGTTTGGTTTGATAATTATCAGAGGTTTGGTTACGGGTAAAAAGCGGAAGGTTGAAAATTAAAAGTTGCAAAATTGTTATTTTTAACAGTTTTTTTGTATTTTTTTATCTCGTTATGTGACAATTAATGAGTTTTTGTTGCATTTATCTGATCTATGGATCAAAGAAACTGTTTGAGACTGCATGAACATTATATAATGCCATATGGACTTGGGTTCGAGTCATGTTCCATTCAAAAATATAACTATCAAAAGGAAAAACCGCATTACAAAAAGAAAACAATTCTGTAAATTTATTTTTTTATCCCTCAGCTGTTTAACCAAAGTTCTGATAATAATCTTTCTATTAAATATCAACCGTCAAACTATTTCTGCTAATTTTGATAGCAAATATGTTCATACTTTACTTAATTAGTATATAAAAGTTCCCTGTAACCAAGTGCACACTTTCTTTTGCAACTTGGTATATAAAATTACTCGAAAAGTGAAAATTACATGTAACTTGCGCATTTTCTGAGGATAATATGAAAAAATTAATTAAATTAATTTTTTAAACTTAAATTTCTCATGAATATAAAATGTACGTAATTGAACCACATTCAATGTTACATGTGACAAGTAAACCACAATTGTTTCTGGTAGGAGCTTGCAGACTGGTAGGAGCTTACAGACAGTGTTATAACCACCGACGCACCGCCAGATCGTAAACTCGTCCATGACGTCAGCAGACGATAAATAAACGATAACTTAATTCTCATTGCATTTATATGAAAATATCACAAACAAATTGATGCACACAGTAATAAATTCGGAGAAACAATTCCTCCGGGATCAATAAGATATATTTATCTGATATTTTGCCATGGGAATATAAGTAATATATGGTAATACAAATCAAACATGAGAAAGATATTGTTTTAGGAAACAAGCAGGGAGAATGCTTCAAAAATGGATCATTATGAACTTTTCAAAAATTATATTTGGCATTAAAGTGGAGAGAAGATTAAATTTTCTTAACACAAAATTCCATGGACCTTCTGGCAATCCGTAAGTTGTAGGGTTGGTGAAATACATCATAGGTCATGCCAGTGCCGGCAGATTTATAATTACAAAGATTTTAATAGGACATATGGTAAAGTCTGATCTGTTATATTCAGTTGTAAACAGCCATAATATATACACGTCTATATAACCTATCAAAAATATCTATAACAAATTTATTATATAGCAAAAACCTTTAATTTGGGGCAAAATGAATGCATGTTTTATTTATTAATTTGACAGCAACCGTATATATAGATAATGTAAACGTATAATGAAAAGCAACGTACGTTACAGTTTATATTATACTCCTATTTAAGATATACTCTAAAGTAAGACCGCAGCATTATTAAGACCAAATTTGAAATAAAAAAAGATTTTTTTCATATTTCAATTGTGAGAAGAACCATATCTAAGACTTTCCCGCTTATACACAATTTAGACCATCATTTTCAATCACAATATTATTTGTTTTATTCTTTATTTGGCATGAAACAATGTGATTAGACGATTATACAAAGAATACAATAATACAAGGTGAGAAAATCAAATTCAGAGTGGTTAAATTCACATGTATTTTGTAGAGAATTTGATTCTTATTTGAAATGCAAATTGCATACAACATTTAATATTTAAATTTTAAACCAGACCAATGAGCATATACTGTTTACAACCGAAGTTCCCAAGAATTTCGTTCTCATGATTGCCAAAATGAGTGTCAAAATATCTTTTTCCTTCTTTTTTATTTTTAGATTAAAATACATTGTTTCAACATGTACATAGAAAATGACCAACATGGGCCGCTTTTATAAAAATATATTTTCCTTGATAATAATAAACATTTAAGAGACCATCTTGCAATTGAAACCACTTTGGTTAAGTCCCAATGGTTTTCTTAAAAGAGGGATTTACTATCGACCTATGTAAAAGACAACTTTCTACTGTTACGCTACTCGTGAAGCAATGGCGGAACCAAGTACACTACACAAGCACTATCGTGGCTCCGCTTTTAAGCATATAAAAAAGAACTTATAATTCGTAATATAGATACTTAATTGGTTCATTCAGATCTCGACACGAGTTTACCCCCTTCCTCAACACATTGTCTTAAAGAATTTCTAGCGCAAAGTTGGCAGTATACTCAGGTACATTCAAAAGACTAAACATACAATAAAATTAGAACTACAAAAGTCAAAATGATTCATGTGAAGAAGGTTTGTGAACTTAAACAAATATGTATGGTAAAAATATCACATCATTCTAGTGGTTAAAAATAAAAAAAGTTCACACAAGTACCTAAGCACTAGTTTCATTTTTTATGGTGTGGTTAGGGGAATATGTTTGCTTGGTATGTCGTCTGCTTTTGCTAGGGGATTGCACGCGCTCTGTGTGTCGTCTGCTTTTGCTAGGGGATTGCGCGCGCTCTGTGTGTCGTCTGCTTTTGCTAGGTGATGGCGCGTGCTCTGTGTGTCGTCTGGTATTGTCAGGAGAATGTGAATGTACAGCGTGTGTATTAATAATAACATGTGAAGAATTCGATGGATTGCTTCCGTTGCTCCGATTGCACCCATTGTCCCCATCCCTCTTTTTGAACTTGTCTTTCCCGCCTCTCACTTCTACAGTTGATTTAAACGCTACAGTTTTCTTCCGTATACTTCCATTCGTAGAATTTGTCGACACGGACTGTGTGTACCCTCCGGTAGAAGTTTGAGCCTTCGGGTCCACCAGGGGGACCAGTTGATTATTTGCATTGACACCATCGTGTACAGCCACGGAAAGATTTCCACTACCGTACTCATCTTCGCTTAAAATTAGTTTGCACATAGTTGCTACAATAAGCAGGCACGATAAAAGCGCTAACAAGCCTCCTGCGCCTGCGCATATAAGGGCGTATGGAACGTCAACTTCGTAATTATCAGACAAAACCCTGAGATCTTCATTGACATCTATAAACGTGGAAGTTGGGACTAGTATTAAAGCACCTGCAAAAATATATAATTCAGCTAATTTAAATCATCAAAATTATATTGGCCTATGTCATCACCACCTCATTAAGCTTAAGATATGCATTTATTTTGTTTTTCTGAAAAGCTAATTAGTTTTGATGTGCTCTTTATTAAAAAAAAACACGCATTGGACAATAACCTGAACCATCTTTTGTGTCTGTTGCCTTTAAGATTTTGGTTCAGTTATAGTGATTTAGAATTTTAAATGGAAGTCAAAATACTACTTTGTTTACACTTCGCTACTGTTACGACAAATAGTTTCATATTCAGAGCTACCTACTTCAGTTACAAAAAAAACAACAAAACATCTTACATGCTCTAAAATCATCATTAAAATCCTATAAAACTCCTTTTTGCCCTTTCTAAAGAAGGAGAAAAATATTTGTTTCTGAGGCATGTGTCATTAAAAGGTTCCATCCTCACTGGTATTGGAAGACTTCAGGTGCCCCTTCATGCAGTATACATGTATTATGATCAGGCGGACACCTGGGTAGTAGAACCACCGAACTTCCGTAAGCTAGCTAGGTAGCTTACACATATGAGAATCCAACGTCCCTGGCATGGTTCGAACCCACAGCAGTGAGAGGAATGTAATTTAAAGTCTATGGCCGTAACCACTCGGCAATTGAGTCCCCTGACTAAGCGGTTAGGAATTTTTAGCCCCTTAACCAACCAATAAACTGTATTTGACTATAACAACAAAATGGAGGTCTTTCTTACCCGAATTCGAATTTTGTAATAAAAAATCAATATACAAGTATGTTTGGGTCCAATTGATCGGTTCTGTAATTAACAATACCGATAAACGCCAAACGATGAATTATTTATAGTAATTTGATATTTTTATATTTTATCAATATATTTGTTCAGGTAAAATTTAATTAATTTCAAGTTTTCATATTTATCAATCACCCAGCTGTCAACCATGGATCATATTTGATCATTCTAAAACCTCGATGTAAATAAAAATAGAATAAAATTTCTGTCATTGATACACTTAAATGCATAAAATTATAGTTAATGACTTGTTTGCAGTTTACACTGTAGTAAGGAATCAAACTGTGCCTGAAATAATGCACGGAAGCGCACCTCAGGTCTTCCTCCACCAGTAAAGCTGGAACGTCGTGATATGACCTATACTGTGTCGATGTGACGTAAAACCCAAAACAAACAAACAAAAAACGTGGCCTATATGGTTATTCTTTTGGCTGACCTAATGATAATTTCAGGTGGTCTAATGATCAATTATCAATTCTGCCTTTTAACCCATGGGTTTTTGGTTCGAGACCTACACGGGTCACAGCCATGTTTCGTAACATGACACAAATATAGGTTTGTTACAGGAAGTGGACCCGAAAGTAGTTTAAATAAGCAACAAACTCGCATCAAAATGCAGCTATAATAAATATGTTTTAAATAAATATTTAATAATTTAATAATACCGGAAATAGTTTGAACTGGAACAAATTATAGGACGAAATAATAAGAGAAAACAGTCGTCTTTGCAACGAATTGGTAAATTTCTAGAAATATTCATGACAGTCAAGTTCAACTGAATATAGATATTGATCTATTTGCAATTGCTTGAAGTTACAATATAAATATGCATACGACAAAAAACTGGGCTACGATGTTATTGATCTTTCCTGATTCTATCTTTTTCATCATTAGTTCTGATAATTATAAAGACGAATAGAATGTGGACAAAAAGGCAAAATAACATGAATTCGGTACTTCTGTTTTGTCCTCATGTTTAACGTTATTGATCCTCGAGCTTTCAAAGAGTGATCAAAATAGACAGGATGATTCCAGACGATACGCAGAGTACTTCATCGTCTTTGGCAGACGACAAATTTCTCAGCATGCAAAGGAATAATAACGTATCAGTCCGTTACCTGAAATAACTGCATAACAAAATACCATACAGAATCGAGATTGTCGTGGTTCCTCGTCGCTTTTCCCTGCTATAAATAACTCAAAGCTCTTCTTTTGTTTCCTCATCATTATAAGGCCCATCAGTATGAGCACCAGAGCACAAGCTGTCTCAATTTGAAACTCGAGAAGTCTTGGAAACGGAAACCCTTAAATAAAAAGATAATAAGCAATTTTTACAAAATTATACCTCGAGCAGACGACACAGTCAATGTTATCAATTCTCCCGCGGTTTTATAAATGTCATGTGTCGACAAACATTCCTTCTGATGAGTTCTGGGGAATTAATTCTTAACACGCTAAATATCTTAAATGGACTAATCCGTATTTCAGTCTGGACGAAACCATTCGGAATTTTAGGGAAATTTTAATTTTGCACTGACTAAATAGCGAATACTGCAGAACATGATAAGTCCGCATGATCTTTCGAGTATGAACTGGTCGTATTAGTAGATTTCAGTTGCCGCTTGCAGGTTTAGAGTTAGTAGCATCTCTTGCTATAATAATGAGCCACGTACGTTGTAACAGCCATAATTTAATTTCTTTCTAACGTTACAGTAAAAAGCTAAATATTAACAAAACGAGACTTTATCGGGAAAATTCATGCAAAATTGTTTATTACTTTTTGCAGTAGTTGTTCATGGGTCATAACTATTTCCACGAAGTAATTTTTTGCCTTAGGTTATATTCTTATGATTACTGTCATTCTAAAGTTAATAAGATTGAAAAATGGCAAAGAACGAGCCAGACGAATGTTTCTATTTCAACATTGAATCATCAACATCATCTGGAATTTAATTAGCGCAAAAGATACAAAAAATATGTTTTTAAATGCAATACAGACATTCCAAATATATTAAGGAAACGGGAAAATCTTATTTTACGGCTTTGCAGATCAGTCCTTGTAAGAAACGGCAAAGCAAAAATTTCAAATATCATTTTTTTCAGAGAGACAAAATCTATAAATATTACAAAACAAAATAACTTCATTAATACTCAATCCATAGTCTTTAAAAAATAAAAAGCAAAAATATATTTTCAGGCAAAAACAAGGCAAAGTCAGGAAACATGCAGTCTATATAACAGAACACTATCAAGTTAGAGTTTATATGTTGGCTGATTTGTGCCATGTTTTTCGCTCCACGGAACCCAGACAAAAACACGACAAAGTAACCACTTTGTCGTGTTTTCGCCTGGCGACCCGTGGAACAAAAACGACATGACACAAATCAGAGTTTAGGTGTAAATGTATGAAATTTACACTAGTTGAGGTGATGAGGGTGACAGTTATGTGCCTTATGCTATAAAGGCAATGATGGAAGAAAGGGCAGTATTTGGTCTTGTTATGCAACAAGCACTTACAAAAATATTTAATTGTGGATTCAGAAAAATATATTGCAGTTAAATGATACAAAATGATAGAAACTATATTAAGTCAGATACATTCTGAAGAGACAAAACAGAACAACTATGATATAAGCATTTATGAAGTACATTTCACGTAATAACACTGTTCAGAAAATTACAATTTTTATCAGTAATTGATGTCATGCTTCGCACTTTTAGTGAAAAATGAATATATATTTCTGAATTTATATTATTTAGTTATATATGTATAAAAGGATATACTTACTAGAATATCTGGCTGTGAAATTCTGATCCAGTCGGTCTTCAAATTTGTCTTTGCCATTTGAACTTTGATCATCCCCAGACGACAATCGATCGTATGGTTTAGTCAAGCAAGTTCCATTCCAGCATATCACAAGGTACCATAGGGCAAAGTTTTGACTCACAACTGTAGAATAAACTTGATCGTAGAAAATTGACGTCTCAATGGTGACGTTGAGCCACCCGGGAGCGGCAAATGCAATAAGTTGAGCCCCAAACGATACAATCAAACTTGCCATACACATATTTATATAACAGAGCCGAGAAAACATTTTTGGTGACACGATTGGTTATTTATGTTTGTTTTCGCGCTTTTTTCCTCTTTACCTTTTCACGTCTGCCCCAAAGATAATATGTGTTGGAAATATCAGAATTCTTGCAGACGTCCACATCACTGCAGCTACATATGATCTTATCACAGTCTTGGCAGTATTTTTGGTTCCCAGCCTCAAATCAGCTTCATGGACGCAATGTCCTTGGTTGCAAAATCATGCTTTGTGAAATGTGATTTCTAAATTAAAAATAAATGTAATTATAATGTTGAAACAATAATAACTAAAGATTAAGTTTCCAATTCGTTTAAAACCGATTGCAAAAATATCTCAGAATTGCATCCGGTTAAAACGTCATTAACGTTTTAATGTCGTGTTAATCAAACATTAGGCAGGCATCTACACCCGGTAAAATCTATTTCCCGATATGTCCTATAAAGCATATTTGAAATGAAAACAATTTTTAAAATTAAAAAAACAGCAACAACAAAAAACACTTATTTGTTGATACACATCTTTTTTTTCTTCTTAAAAAAATAGTGTTTCAGTGTAAAAGAATCACAGACATTTTAATAATCAACAATTCAATGGCATATCCTCTTTGAACAGTTTGTTGACCTTCACTGCCTATTGGCAAAGACATTATAAAAAATCCTCTAAAGAAAGTGTCAAAAGGTCCACTTACGTGATTTCGTAAATTGATATAATCACCAAGTAGTTACTTCCAATTTGCATTTAATACATGATATCGGTGTAAAATCGTTAAATCTATGGCATAAGAAATAAAATCAATCACTGCACGACTCCGTCATAGTGCCGGCATTTGGAAATCCTCGGAGAGTATCGTTTTTTCCTCGTATGCCAATACATCTAAATATAGCATCCAGCAATTCTGCGATATTTCCCGACCTTGTATTGATCGCACTTTGAAATCAATGACAACGTGAATTTGTGAGATGACGGTTTAAAAGCATTACAGTAATGCAATTAAACACTCTCATCTTAGTTAAACACCGTGTGAGGTTTTAGCTAGTGTTGTTGTTGTCTGTCTTATGTATTTTGACAATAACCGAATCTTCTTGAATATCGATAAATCAAAATTTGAAAATGAATGTACGTAAAAATCAAGAATTCAATTGTCCTTAAATAGTTTATTCCTAATGCTACACATATCACAATAGTTTTAAGTTAAAAACCACGTGTATTTAAAACAGTTGTTTCAATTCAAAGGATTACTCGTATATAAGTTTTCATTAAAACAAAAAACGGACAAATACGATAAAATAAAAACAGTAAGACCCAAATATTTAACACGAGTTACTTCCCCAGCTTCAGCGTCTCAATCATAAAAACCCCTTTTTAAAAGCAATCATCCATTTTGAGATTCTTTGGCACAATAACGTCAATTCAAAAGGCCTTATATAGGTTGGAACTTCATCAACGAGAATTTTACCAATGGCAACTACTCGGCCCTTTCCGTCAGTCTTCGGATAAGGACCTCGAACACAATAGTATGAATACACAGAACGGATGCGGTATTTCGGTCTAACCTACGCTAAGAAACTAATCATGTAAACAAATAGTAATTTAATGCTGGAAGTTGTTGACAAGTTTATTTCAAATATTTGTTGTAAATGTCCACCTAAAATAAGTGAATTCATAGCTACAAAAGCAAACAATACATTATTTCTATATTAATTATTATGGTTGTAGAAATCGTATGAACAAAAAACCAACCTGTTGACATTTAGTCGGATTTGTTTAAAATTGTACATCAGTGGGCATATTTAAATTACAAATTGTTGTCAGACATATTTTCAATCATAAGTGTACCGAAACAGACTTTACTTTTCTTTTGGATGTCAAATTTATACATTCGTTTTACATTATCTCTGTTTCTGTTTACATCTGAAACCACGTGGTAGAACTACTTTCAATCCGTATTGTTTCCGAGGTTATTATAGATAATAGCCGAGGCAGTTCCAAATGAAATTTTACGTTCATTATGACGTCACCCGTGGCTTTTACATAATCCTACCACAAGTGTTTATTTTTTATTCAATAACAAAAAAAAAAAATGAAAAAATAAAGAGAGAAAATGTATGTAAACATAAATTTATAAATAAACAAATGAAGTCGCTTCTGATCGTGTGTTTTTTTTGTTTTTTTTTGGGGGGGGGGGGTTTTTTTTTTTTTTTTGGGTGGGGAAAGTTTAATAAGACACCACAATTTAGACGCATAGCAATAACTGCTGATAAATTAAGCCGGCGATTGTTGCAATAGGTCATGTAAAGTTGTAAAGTTAGCAAAAATGTAATGCCATGCATAAAATCATCAAATATGCATTTTCTATTTTAGAATTCATATTTTGCTATTATATTGACCGTTTAAACGTATGACATACACAAGATTAGTGTATACGACAAGATAGATATACAAAATGTACCATCCGTACTATTGAAGAGAGTGATCCAGAATGACGTTGCTCACGTAATTGCATTACGTTATATTCTGGAATATATACTTAGGTATATACTAAAAGTAACAATATTAGAGAACATTGGTCTTTTATTTGTACTGAGCTTACAATAATGTATCACATTTGACATGTCAGCGTCTAATGAAATCCTGACCTTACAAAATTCCACTCCAATCCAATACAAGTTTTCTAGATATTTCAAACACCTATAACAGGGCTGGGAATCAAAACTGCGTCGTATCCTACAAAATGTAAACAAACGCCGCCATCTTGGAACGAAAAACGTATGTTTTTGTTTATAACTTTTTTTGTTGGAAATGACTGAAAACCAGATATATGTATTAACACGCTACACTATTTTCCGCTTCGTTCGGTATATGTTGCTTGCACAACTATTTTGTAAAACAAAAGTTATAGCGAACTTGCATCTCGAAGCGGGGCAGAATTTTTATGAAAATGTGTGGATACGACGCAGTTCATATTGCTTTATCTATCGTTTTTTCCCTCAAATCAATTATATATTTGTTTCAGAGTTCATCATAAACTTCGAAATATAATTTTGCATCATTTTAGTATGATTTTTACGAAATGATACGACGCAGTTGAAAATAAAATATGATACGACGCAGTTGCATTTTTGGCAGTCTTTTCAACAGGGATAATTTTGGCACAAAATATTTCTATTTTATGGAATAATCACTTGCGCTAGATAAAAAAACCCAGATCATTTGCGGTGTATAGCAATGTTCTGTTGCTTTTGATTATTTAGAATAAATGCATTGTGTCATGTCCAATATTACATTTAATTTGAAAGTTTACATTGCGGAAGCTACTTTTCAGTTAAACATGTTACCTAATTGTTCATAATATCTGAAATGATTTCTTATATTTTCCTGAATGCTCAATATTATCCCTATTTTTTTTCGCAAAAAAAATATAGAAATCTATTAACTTGAATTCATGTTGGCTAGCTACGCTCTAAGTTAACTGTGGTTCTGCATGTTCTGGGTAATGACTGCTTTTTTGTGGTTTGTTTCCAAACTTTCACTCTACACATTAGCTTTACTAGGGGCGAGGACCTCAGGTGCGCCTTTGTGCATTATTTCAGGCAAAATGGTGCACCTGCAGAGAACCATCCACATTTTGAAACTAGCTTGATAGGTTTTCCACACGAAAGAATAAAAAGTCCCTGGTGGTTTTCGAATTCATTGCAGTTCAGTTCAAGTGATTTGAATTCAGTAAACATAAACAGCTCGGCCACGGTCGGACACACCTGTCTGATTTGTTTTTTCAACAAAATTTGTTAACGTCAGCTGTACAAATAAGCAGCTTTTTTATTAACTTCGGGCATAATTTTATTATAAGATTATAAATATTTGAATTAATTATAAAGAGAATAACATTTAAATTTCTTATTTCGGTAATCCTCTGTGAAGTCATTTTCTGAAAACCTTTGTTTAAGTTTTCAGGCAATTCATTATCAAATAATCACACTTTAGTATGAAGGTTTGTTAAGATGCCATGTCTCTAGTCTGTTGAAAATTCGATGCGATAATCTGACCTTAATTTTCTGTTCAATCACAGGAGCTTGAATGTCTATCAATAATTGCCCTAAAGTCAAATTCCCAAAAAAAATCCATACCTATATATAAAAAAGTGTTTTTTTTATATATAGGTATGGTTTTTTTTGGGGAATTTGACTTTAGGGCAATTATTGATAGAATTTCAAGCTCCTGTGGTTCAATATTGTTAAAACTTCTTCAATACTGTTGAAAGATCATGTCTGCCTACATTTGTATATCTGTATCAAATTTATCGGTGCATAGCGTAAAATACCTTTGCAAAACGGACACCTTCTTTACAAAATAATCTGTAGTTGTATGCTATGTAACTCGATTTTGAAAATATAAAGTTTTTTTAATGGAGAAGAATGATACTTAAGTGCAAATATAGAAAATACATTCCGTAGACCTTTCCTCATCGGCGATAAAGAAATGCAATACGACAACATCAGAGGTAAAGTTCCGCGGCGCTGAACATAAAATGACTAAACGGAACGCATAACCTACTTGCAAAAATATATTGTAGCTTAACCATTTAAAATATAATTTTAAAGATTTAATGTTCAGTTTTAAATAATAAAGCTCATCTGTTCTCACCGATTATTAAGAAAATGAATACAATAAAATCGGCACGTAAAAGACATAAGTAATAACGGAATTGACGGAAATTATTGCTAATTACAAGTAACAAAGTTAGGCATGCAATTTGCGCATAGCTCTTTTCCGATAGCAAGAGACATTTTTAAAATTTGTAATTCTTTCTCTCTTTTTTAAAAAAAAAAAAAAAAATCTGATTAATACTAGTACAGGGTTCAGGAGAGGTTACACTGGAATAATGAATTTTGTATCAAAAATAGTAATCACTCCCATTTTGAACTCACGGGAACAATTTTAGAAGCATGCTAAGGCAACACTGGAACACGTTGTCATATGGTTGTGCGATCACGTGTTTATTGCACAATGTATGTTGCATTTAATACGGTTTTTCGGAATTTGTAGAAGCTCAATATGATAGGTACTTAAATGCGACCGAAAAATGCAGCCTTAATAGAATTGTATAACATTTCCATTTTTATGGAACCAATGAGTGACCTCTGCTTTTGACTTAAGTTTTAAACAAGAAATGTTGTTGGACGTTATTAGCATACCTAGCACATAATGTAAATAGTTTAAAACCAATATGCAGCCTGCAATGAAAATACAACTGCGTCGTATCATATTTTATTTTCAACTGCGTCGTATCATTTCGTAAAAATCATTATTTTCTTGGAAAATAAACATCTCTTTTTAATGAAAATTTAGTAAATGATGCAAAATTATGTTTTGAAGTTTATGGTGAACTCTGAAAACGAGTATATAATTGATTTGAAGGAGAAACGATAGATAAAGCAATATGAACTGCGTCGTATCCACACAATTTCATAAAAATTCTGCTCCGCTTCGAGAGGCAAGTTCGCTATAACTTTTGTTTTACAAAATAGTTGTCTAAGCAACATATACCAAACGAAGCGGAAAATAGTGTAGCGTGTTAATACATATATCTGGTTTTCAGTCATTTCCAACAAAAAAAGTTATAAACAAAAACATACATTTTTCGTTCCAAGATGGCGGCGTTTGTTTACATTTTGTAGGATACGACGCAGTTTTGATTCCCAGCCCTGTATAATTCACATATAAAACACTAACAAATACATATCAATGTAGTCACGTTTGTATTCAAACGAATTTGATTAACCTTTTGTTATATGAATCACATTGTTTGACTATTTCAATATGTACGTTGAAAGAACATGTATTCAAAAGCGTCAATATAAATGTCATGTCTTAAAAATTGAAACTGTGTGATCGAGTGGTACATTTTCTTTTTGTACCAACAATATGTTGACAAACACTTTATAAAATCACACAAATGTGTGACATTTATATTGTGACATATGGGATGAGCTGCGGAGGTCTTCCTCTACCATTTAAGCTGGGTAATCGCCAAAAAACGACATTTACTGTATCGGTTTCAAAACCCATTCGAAAGAAAATACACAAACATGTATCTGAAAGTAGATATTTCTAAAGTTATATATCATAGCATATCACACCTAAAACTGACATATCACTGGTAATTTGTACATCTTTTTTTTTACATTGTCGTGTTGTGACGTTAACAGAATGAAAAGTAACTCACAGTATCTAGCTCAGAACTGAGCAGATGGAAACATCCAACTTCTTATTCAAGATCTAATTCCTACCTAAAACTTCTAGAGAAATTGGATATCATGACAAAAATGAAAAACAAATGCCATTGGCATTAAGCGAGGAAGAATACATTGTTCCAATCATGTTTGTTAGCATACAAAAAGAGGGTATTTTCTCAAAGTGTACACAATAAACCCATCAAGGTGGTTGACGATATTGTTTCATGCACTCTTCGTAGGAAGGAGGAGGTTCTTCCAAGTCCTGACCAGCGCTTGAATAATTTATATTCTGTAATGAATTTCTTTCACGTCCCTGTCTTATAGCTATGCCTCTCCTTTCACCAGGCTCAAACGAATGTGAAATGGTTAAAACAGCCCTGGTGCCATTATTGAACCTTGTCTCATACCCCGGAACAATTGGATCAACATATCCCCTTGTTGTCGTTTGATTTTCTAACGCTACTAGAGGAACAAGTTGTGTACCTAAATTTAAACGGTCTCTTCGTCTCTCCTCGTTCATTTCGCTGTTAAATTCCTCTGATGAAATAGACATACAGATAGATCCTACATTCATTAAACATGAAAACAGGGCTAATATACCACCAATTCCAGAACAAATCAATGCATATGGTATCCCTACAATGTAATTGTCGGCTACTGTTTTTAAATCTTTATTGACTTCTAGAAATTTGGAAGCTGGAACAAGAACTAGGCCACCTGAAAAAAAAGCAATATATAAATCTTAATTGTATAACATAAAAACATAATAAAGACGATAATACTTTACTAACCATTTCTTTTTATTCATGTTTTGATTTATCTATACATTTCATTCATTCATTCATTCATTCATTCATTTATCTATTATTTATCTACATGTATTTATTTATTTATTTATTTATCTATTTATTTATTTAATTCTTTGTTTTTTGGAAATCTGGGAAGTTGTATAACAGAAAATCTGCCTAATTTCTTAAATAAAATAAACTATTTCAAGAACAGTTAAACAAAAGGAATAATTATTGTATAATTCAATTTAATAATTATCATAACCATTCTTAAACTATTATAAAAGCAACAAAAAATGTATTTAGTCTCAAAAGAGGTCAGGTAGGGATTGTGTTTGTTGTCATTTATTTTTAAAACCAGTTATCATAACAACCACACACGTCGCCATTTTTTATGCCGCCATTCTTTTAGTCAATGATCGAAACTAAATTCTTATGTGTCGGCGGGGTGACGAAAGTAAGGATCGGGAAAACATGAAACAGTTTCAGGAAAATAAAGGGAAACAACTGCTACAAAACGATTCCTTTTATAAACGGAAAAGTTACTCTAATCTTTGTTAACGTTAAACGCAATAGCAAAATTTCATGCTTGTTTGGTGATGCTTAAAGATCAATGAAAATTGGTTACTTGTCGTATGTATTACATTGATCTACACTGTTCGCTATTTAGTCAGAACATGATATTGAAATTTTTACTAAAATTGATGAATGTTTTTTGTTTGTTTTTTGTCCAGATTGAAAGATAGACACGTGAATGACACATTCATTCAAAGCGTGGTAACGGCGAAAGACTCCTAAATATCATAACGTTCTTTCATAGAGAGTAAATATAGAAATGAAATACTAAATATCCGATATTTCATGGAAAGTAACTATAGAAATAAAATACCTAATAACAGGTATTTCATAATAAGTGAATATATAAATGAAATACTAAATAATAGGTCTTTCATAGAAAGTAAATATAGAAACAAAATACTAAGTAACATATTTATGAAGAACTTATCACCTTTAAGTAATACTTTACGGAACATACATATAAAAGTAATTTGTGGACTGTCGTTTACTTTGTTGTAAGATGTTAGTTTCATAGGCTCATAAAGCTAAACGGAAATTTTAGATAAATAATGCAAGGTGCTTTTTTTCATTTATGGACTGACGAATATAAACAAAAAATTGTATTTAAACTTTGTAAACTTTGGAAGTTTAATTATTCTAAAAATAGTTTATAGATCCACAGTCATGCTATACATGTAAGTCAACAATTATTGACGGAGTAATGTTATCAAATATTTATTGTTTCCGAAAAAGGTAGCTTTAATAATACATATGCAGAAATTCTATTACACTGAAAACAGATTGCAAAATATATCTTTTATGACTAGGATGCAAAACATTAACAACAACAAATCACGTAGCACTGTAATAGACCTTTTACGACGCGGTCCGTTGCTATGAAAAATCGGCCGGAAGTAATATTTCCCCGCACATGCACAATGTGCGTAGGGCAAAAAAAAGCATAGTCATGTTTAAGCTTGTCTGAGTTTTTTTGTCTGCTTTTATTCTAGATTTCTCGCCGAGGATAATGAAATG